GTTTTAGAAACAACCAAGAGTTGATTAGCACCTCTCCTGCAAATCCCCAGATCAATTACTCCAGTGAACTCCGTACTTAGGAAATTATATTTCTTTGCTTCCATTTGGATTTGCACTTAATCTTTCCAAGGACCTGGAAACGCATCTCCTTTGGACTCTCTATCAGAATTTACTCTAAATGTCTTTTAAATTATATACCATCCTTCCTTGAAGGTGGAAAGATACCATAACTGTATGGAAAACTTTCAGTATGTCAAGGTATATCTTCCCCTGACTTTTAATTTAAGGGAGAATTCATCCCCCTAACATTAGATACACATCTGCTGCTGAGCTGATCACCCTCCAACTCCCTTTGTAGACTACATAGTTCACCCAGCTGATGGTGGAGTTCATCTGACCTGTTTTAGATATCTCCTTTTGATGAACTGTTGCCAAGGTTTTTTCTGCAACAAGGCTTTTCCTGTGTCTCTGCTACAAACAGAGGCCAGGGCTTTAGGAGCATCAGGGATGTGGATTCTGCTACAAGATCAGACATAGTGAGACCATCGTCCAAAAACTTGAGAGACCTGCATATGTTTTCCCTTTTGCTGCTGTGGACATTACTGAAAGTTCCTCTTCCTCATCCATAGTGAAAATGAATGGATCTCCACCAACTTTGATACAATTTGCAACATCATCCATAACCAAAAATGTTTCAAGTCCAAGGTTATCTATGACTATCAAAGAGGTCCAAGGCTTGGAACAAAATGTAGGTGGAATTTGCTGAATTCATCACTGAGAACTATTTTCATGGAGCAAAAACTTGGCCTGTTCCAAAGCCCATTATAATCTACATTACTTTTTTTCATTTATTTCAGTTGTTTTTGGATCAGGTTTTCTGGGAACTTCCAATACCCTCATGGCTCCATTTAATGCTACTTACATTATCAATGCAGTTTCTCTGCATTACTGCTATTACATTTTTGTATTACATAAAAAAACTCAGAATGGACAGGCCCCTTTGTTCTAAGCAGTGTGTAAATGGACCAAGTTTTCTCTGTTTCTGCTAAAAAAAACATGACATTTCTTCCAAAAATAGATTTAATGCCACTGAAGGATCCTTCCGCAGCTCATTTTTCATCAATTGCTTCAAGAAATTATCCATGAGCTAGTGTATATCATACATAACAACAGCTGATGCCTATTACAAAACAAAACCTCTTTGAATATTCTAACTAACTCCCTTCCTTTTTCTTTAATTCTTCTTCTGAGGGCATGATCTTTATGACCAGATGTGATCTGTACTATGTAAAAATTTGAGAACTCCCAGTTCTACTCGTTTAGGCAATCCTATTAGGAAAGAGAAACTATCACCCCATGATTTCTATCTATCTACTCCACAGCCTGAATTCTTTCTCTTGGCTGTCATAAAACACGCCTGGTGAAAATAATGCCCATGGTCTATAGGACCAATATTTTGGTAAATCTGGCCACATATTCAGGAACTGTGATTATTTGATGTCAGCAAAGTGCAAAGACTTAAAAAGGAGAATTTAATGGTAGTAACAGCAGGAAAAAAGATGAACCAAAGATCAACACAGAACTAATTTGTCTGTTCAGCATCACTTTGTCGTCTCAAGCAACTGAAGTTATACAAAGACCAAGCCGATAATTTGTATTTATGAGGCTGCTTATTAAGCTTTAACCACTTGTAATAGTGGTTGTGATTCTGTATGAAGCTATGATTCTGTATGAAACTTGAAGGTACTAGAGGCAAGTGCTATTAATTTCAAATCACAGATGTGTTCATTTGAACTCTAGAAAGTGGTACTGACTCTACAAATGCTTAATGGATAGGCCTAGTTGCTCTTCTGGAGATTAACCAGATTCTAAGTTGCTATTTTGCTTTTTCTTTTTTTTTTATTACTTTCTCTGTGTAACAGCTTCTTTGATGTTTTTTTTTTAACATGTTATTGTAGCAGTGAGCCATTTTTCTTTTCTGACCTCAAGTTAAGCTAACTTTTTGTCTCTGAGTTGAGTTATAGGAGACAAATTTGAGCATAACCTATTCTGCTTGCTCCCTGGCCACTTCCTAATTGCAGTGACTCATTCTGTTGTTAAGAAATGCATTCCTCTCACCTTGAAAGTGCAGAGCCTATTTCCATGTGCCCAACCCACTAGAAATGGTTCTGGTTATGCAAGAAGAGAGCACTTTTGCTACTATTTTTTATCCTTTCTCAAAATTCTTAATCAAACAATATCATAAAGCCATTCAGACAACTGCTTGTTTAGACTCACATCTTTATCTCCAGGTGAATCTTTTTGACTTGGTTGGTTTGAAGCTCAAATGATAAATCTAGTCTGGCTTCACTGGCTGAGTAAGTATCTGTTCACACAAATTGCTCAGAAACACACAAAGGCCCTGAAGTGACTCTCCCTTTCACTGACCGGGTGAAATGCTGTTTCAGGAGTACCTTGGATACCTGGATTCATAGGGCCGTCAACCTGCTATTAATATTAACAAGGTTGTACTGTACGGAGAGATTCCTTCCCATGTTTGCATCAGTGATGAAGTTCACCTCTTTGTAGGACTTAAGTGGGTCACAAGCTCCCTGTGCAAGGGTGAATTGTGCTCCAGCAGACATGTGAAAAAAAAAAAGTTTCTAACAAAATCTTTTCATTTTGTCACATTTGGGGAGAAATGAGCATTTTAGAGGCAATATCTATCTGCAAAGCAAGTCCCATGTTCTTCGTGGGGCAATTTCAACAAATTGGATATCCCTCTAACATTTTCCATGCTACTTATTTACCTTAGGTGACAGACACTTAGCCAGGCTCACATTGCCCCTGCATCTACCTGCCTTAAGTGTCAGAGTACTTAAGCAGCCTGTCTCAGATCCAGCCGGGTCATCCAGAGCACCTCAGTGCTCAGGAGAGCTGCAGTGTTCCCCCAGTAAAGTGCCCAAGAGGGTGATGTCAAAACTATTTTGTAAGTCAATACTCACAGATTTAAAATAGGGAATATTTCATTGGCAAAACTGGTGATGAGAGAGGGCTATAGGGTAAGGCTGTAAGACCACAGAACTGCAGAGATTCTAAGCAGCACTGCAGTCTCTGGGATTGTCCAAGACCCTGAAGGCCCACCAAGACATGGGAGGAGGAAAACAATCTGAGAGATGGAGTCTG